AGTAATATTGGAATTATGGTCTGTTTGACAGTGATTATTTTTGTGGATTTTAAGTATGATCAGTTCTAAAATACTTTAAATTTTAGAGTAGAATCATTTCAATTGATATATTTTTGAATGCAGAATTATTAGGTCATTGGATATTGATTTACTAGGTTATTGCTCAAGAGTATAAACCATACATTCTTAAAAAGTTTAATTTATTAGACATCTAATATTCATCTGCATTGTATCATTTTAGATTGGCAATTAGAATGTTTTAACTGGACCTTAATTTCAGGTATTCTAAGAGATAATAAAGAATTTGAAAAAACTTGTAACATTTTAGGAATCTTAATTATTGTTACATTATTTATTTATGTTAATATCATTTTTAAAATTATTGAATTATTAAAATGAACATTTTGTATATAATATTTTTCTTCCTCAATATAGCCTTTTAATTTTTTGACCCTATAAATATAATGATTTCTGAATATAATATTAATAATATCAATAAGATGGATAGCCAAAAACTGATAAAAACTTAGTAAGAACATTAATTCAAAGGGGAAGATTAATCCACAAGACACCTTAGCGATATCTTAGATATGAAATAAAAATAAATTTAATAAACTCCTTCTTAAATTATTAACTTTAGAAGTCTTAGATAAAGGTTTGAATTAATTTACGATTAATATCCTTTACCATTTAAATTTCAATAATTATTACAAACAATGAAAACTATCGAAAAGACTTATTGGAAGAAATAAAAGCCAATCTTTTATGAAATTAAAACTAAAGCCTTCAGGATTTTATAAATTGGATAATTATTAAAACTTGATAAAGAGCTTTATTAAATTAAAATTGTAGAAAAATCTGTTTAAATTATTCCTAATGATGTTTCCATCGAAAATTTACCTTCATTTCAACCATTTGCTCTTTAGTTACCATCTGTCTTTGAAAGTAGAATAACAAGGATCAGAATTATTTTAGATAAATTGGTTCAAACTGTTCATGAAAATTACCTAGACATAATCAACCAATAGGATTTTAAAGAACAATCAATAAAATTCAAAGTTTATCACCCTACATTTGATTTAAACTTAGTCCCAGATATCCTTCCATAATAATTTCCATTCTAAATTTATTCTGAAGAACAAAAAATTTAGCTTTAGCAAATCATCGAAAATACTATTTAATATTTTCATAAACGGACAGTCTCTTTTCTGTTCTACCCAAACTTAATTAACTATTTGTTAAATAAAATACAAATGAATAAAGATCAGATGGAAAAATATATTCAATTGTTGATAAAGGTTCAGCCAGATTTTTTACAAATAATAAATTAGAGCTCCATTTAGATTCACTCCACTTATGTCAACATTTTCGAATTCAGATCCATTAAAGTTACATCTAACAAAATTTGCACCAATCAAACTAGTATTCTTTATTCTGATGTCTTCGAAGCTTTGGTTGTTAAGATCATTCTTCATTTGCACTAATAAATAAAGTGCATTTGACCCACCTTAAATAAAACTTTCATCAATACTTGTGAGCAGAACTAAAAATTTTAACAATTAACCTATTTCATTATTTTTTGATGCTTTTTTTATTAGTTTATCTCTCTATTCTTCACACAGGCCTTCACAATAATTTTTATGATTAAAGTCATGATCTTTAAGTGATTTCAAAATATCCATCATTATCTTCATTTAAATTTTCACTCCATCTTCTTAATCGATATTTGTTATATCCATTGCTTATAAAATAGACTATAAAAAACATTAGAGATTTTCATCATCTTAAAGATATTTTAAACAATCTGAGACATTTTCTTTTCTCAACATTTCAATTGTCGCCTTGTATATTGATTAGTCCACCACTTTTGATGAAGCTAATAAATCAAACAAATCTTCTTGCTATTCCATTTGTTTATTTTTTTTTTAAATAATTTTGAATTTCTATTACTTTTATATTAGGTTTTATATTATGAATCAAAAGTATCTTATGCATAAAAATTAAGATAAAAGTAAAATGTTATGGAAATTAAGATTTAATAAATAAATATCTAAAAAAAAATATTTTTTCGCACAAAAATCAAATAATTTATTGGGAGAAAACACTTTTTTGTATCTTAAACAAAGAACTTCAAGAACATCAAAAAAATATAGTGGTAAAAATGAACTTAAAAGAGGAATTGTAATAATATTAAATATATAATGAATTTCTATTACTTTTATATAAAGTTCATAAAAAAAACTCTAATATTTATATTAAGATTTTGAGCATCATCATATAAAACTAGCATCAGGTAGTCGTGATAACTCTATCCGTTTATGTGATGTTACAACAGGATAATAAAAAGCAATATTAGATGGTCATGATAATTGGGTATTATCAGTA